TCTATGTGTCTCCTCTCTGCACTCTATTACTTTCCCCTGGTTCTATGTGTCTCCTCTCTGCACTCTATTACTTTCCCCTTGTTCTATGTGGCTCCTCTCTGCACTCTATTACTTTCCCCTGGTTCTATGTGTCTCCTCTCTGCACTCTATTACTTTCCCCTGGTTCTATGTGTCTCCTCTCTGCACTCTATTACTTTCCCCTGGTTCTATGTGTCTCCTCTCTGCACTCTATTACTTTCCCCTGATTCTATGTGTCTCCTCTCTGCACTCTATTACTTTCCCCTGATTCTATGTGGCTCCTCTCTGCACTCTATTACTTCCCCTGGTTTTATGTGGCTCTCTCTGCACTCTATTACTTTCCCTGGTTCTATGTGGCTCTTCTCTGCACTCTATTACTTTCCCCTGATTCTATGTGTCTCCTCTCTGCACTCTATTACTTTCCCCTGATTCTATGTGGCTCCTCTCTGCACTCTATTACTTCCCCTGGTTTTATGTGGCTCATCTCTGCACTCTATTACTTTCGCCTGGTTCTATGTGGCTCTTCTCTGCACTCTATTACTTTCCCCTGGTTCTATGTGTCTCCTCTCTGCACTCTATTACTTTCCCCTGGTTCTATGTGTCTCCTCTCTGCACTCTATTACTTTCCCCTGATTCTATGTGGCTCCTCTCTGCACTCTATTACTTCCCCTGGTTTTATGTGGCTCATCTCTGCACTCTATTACTTTCGCCTGGTTCTATGTGAGTCCTCTCTGCACTCTATTACTTTCCCCTGATTCTATGTGGTGCCCATCTCTGTGCTCGGCGCTCTGTTACTTTCCCCTGCTTGTCTGTAACTAATGGCAACGCAGTCCTTCCTCTGCTCGGCGTTCGGCTTTTCCAGTCTGAATCTAGTGACGTCACATTCCTGTCAGATTCCGGGGCCTGTGATTGGCTGGGCTGTCAGAGCTCGCGGAGCATTGTGGGAAGATGGAGAGCAGCGTGGGGAAACTGGAGGAAGCGGCGCTCAAACGGAAAGAGAGACTGAACGAGCTGAGAAAGAAACGGGTGAGGGGCCCCTGGGGGCCACAGATAGGGGCAGTAATGGGGTCACTGGGGGGATGGAGGGGGCAGCAATGGGGTCACTGGGGGGGGAGGGGGCAGCAAT